CCAGAGGGTCCATCTATGCTGCTGTTATGGAATTAGATCCCCGAGACCATAACAAGGATGTTCGTTTGGTCCCTAATTCCATTAAAGGGGTGGAAGTATGGGCCCCTAATATGGACCCTTAGGCCTTTCTAGAGGCCCTTAAGGGTACATATAGGGTATATAGTAGGTGTAGAAGGATCCCAGGGTTCAGGGCGCATGCTAGGGGCCCATGGGTTCAACCTTAGCTATGGCTTCAAAGTGAGGTTGAGGGTTTAGGGGTGTAGGGTTCAGGGTTTAGGGTTTTAGGGGGTGTAGTTACGGCCCTAAAGTGTATGGCTCGGGGTTTCAGGTTTATTTTAGAGCTGTTTCGGTGAGGAGGTGTTATGGGTGCTCTGAAGGAGCTGGTGTGGCTTCTCTAGTCTTAGTGTATGAACGTTCTTTTCGGACGGCTTCCCAGAGGTCTTGGGTCGAGTCCATCCTCCTCTCCCCACCTCATCTCATCGTCATCGTGATGAGCATCAGGTCATAGTGGAGGCTTAGATGAAGATTCGTAACGCACCCTTCGAGTCCTCAAGAATAGTCCTACCAAGCCTCCTAAACCCTAAACCCTAAACCCTAAACCCTAAACCCTAAACCCTAAACCCTACATTCGAAGGATAGTCGGCTGGTTTGATCGCCTTGATCTCCAGGTCTCCAGGAATTCATCGGCTGAAGCGCCTGGTGCACTTTGGGGTTTGAGGTTTAGGGCATGCGAATGCATAGCGTTAAGCCCTAAACCGGAGGTCTAACCCCAAGCCCCAAACCCTAAACCCTAATATAGGGGCCTAAATAATTACCGATACTATTGTGGTGGGTCCTTGTTATAACTCTAGTATAATGGGCCCCAAAACCCTCTTCTAATTATTACGGCCCCGACATTAAAGCACTTTCAAACGGTCCATATGGAAGATGAGATCGTTCGCTTGGACTAAAAGGGGGGCTTTGGAAATGATGCTCGTTGATGTGCTTAGAGACTTGATCAAATCTGCCTCACCATCTACGTGAAATCCGCCAGTGGTCGAATACCGAATCAGGAAAGTGTCGGTGGCTTTTGAGATCAGTAATTAACCCGAAACCCTAAACCCTAAACCCCTCATTGAAGATAGGGTCAGGTCTGCAGAATCCTGCACTATGTATGTCAGAATCCTCAGGTCTTGCAGTCCTGAAGTTTTTTTAGAGTTCAGGGTCTAGGGTTTAGGATTTAGGGTTTAGGATTTAGGGTTTAGGGTTTAGGGTTTAGGGTTAAGTGTTGTAGAAACATATATTTCAATTGCTGCATGTCAGCAGATACTGCCTCTGCGTAGACCATGGGCTCAAAGTCTTCAACGCCGATCTCAGCACAAAGCTTCCTATACCTGCTGTGGGGAAAACAAGACTCATCTCCGAATCGTACCTGTAGGTAATATAGGAGCCTGAGAAATTACCAATACTATTTTGGGGGCTCCTTATAAAAACTATACTATAAAGGAGCTCAAAACCTGATTCTAATGATTCTAATTATTAAGGCCCCTACATTACCATGAGCCCGATGAGGCCAGCGTTCGGCTTTGGCAAAACGCTGCGTGGAACAGCTGCAGCGAGGCTGGGGCGGTTTGGGTTTCGCGTTTAGGCCCAGGCTTAGTGCATACTGGCCTGTGGGCTTGGCTTAGGAGGGGATTCCATCGTAACTAAACCCTAAACCCTCAACCCTAAACCCTAAACCCTAAACCCCTAAACCCCTAAACCCCTAAACCCTGAGCCCCGGACCTGCGAGACTCTTCGAGCTGTGGCTGTGAAGCCCACTCAATGGGTATGTTGCTTTATATAGATGTTGCTTTGGAGTATGTGGGTTTCTTGCCATCACCTCCAGATCTTGTGTAGGATCTCTTACCACAATTTCAGCATATGTACATGTATATCCACATGTATATGTACATGTCTATGTGCATACATATACGTGGAGGTATTTGTACATGTATGCGTACGTGTATGTGTATGTGCAAATGTATCTGTATCTGTGATGTACATGTGCGTGTAAATGAAAATGCATATGTTTATGTGTATTACGTAGATACATACATACATACATACATACATACATACATACATACATATAACATACATACATACATACATACATACATACATACATCTACATACACATACATACACATACATACACATACATACATCTACATACACATACATACACATACATATACATACATACACATACAT